GATGCATTTGAGATATCAAAAAAGTACTCCAGAGTGTTGTTCAGCATGGGGGTGAGTAGAAAATGAAGGCTAATCATGTTTTGGGTGTACTATTCCTTTAATCAGTTGAAGCACCTGTGGGATGTTGTGGACAAGTAGATTTACATCATGGATGTCCAGAAGAGTAATCCGCAGCCTCTAAGTGATGTGATCATATCAATAAGGACCAAAAACTATTTCAAAGAAATACTGCAAAAATGAGGCTCAGCTTACCACCATTAAATTGTATTTAATCGTATGTTTGATCATGCTATTTCCTCAATGAAAGCTCAATAGAAGGATTTCTTCTTTATTTTACCACTGACAATCATTTTGGTTACAAACATAAGATAAAAGTTTGTTTCCAGGATCATGATCATCCTTCATTTTGGGCTGCATGATGGTGCAATTGTTACAAAATTTAAGTTGAAAAACCTTACCAATTGAATTGAAATTCCGTTAAATCAACCCAAATTTGGATCAGTCCACGTATGAAGCAGGACAGGGAGAGTGTAATTAAGCAATGAGAGCTGCTCTCCACCCAGTAGTAACTAGTCTGTGATCTTCAGAGTAAATCCAATCTTCATTACTATCCTGTCAAAACTAGAAAGGACAGACTGTGATTTCAAGATGCTGCAAAGTTTCTCTTGATGCAGGGAGTCAAAGGGAGGACAGGGAAGGGGAGGAGATTGAAATGTCCAGTAAAAAAGCGGTGCGGGGAAATTAGAGTGTGTGTTTTAGCCGGCTGGAGCTCAGAGCGGGATCAGAAACTGAAACTTTCAGACTTGATCTTATTGCACGCTTCCGGAGCGGCTCTTTTATTAAGCCTTTGGACTGAACAAACCATTTATTTTTTCTTTTCCTCTTTGATTGGTGATTTCTGTTTTCTTTTTATCAGTCTTTCATATTTCGTCTCACAGACTGAACAATACATTGATTTTTATTATCATCGTCATATTTTAAGTGCAGATCATCAAAGATCGTTTGGTTTTGCGCTCCAGCGCAGTGTCTGGGTCCCTGGGGGCCTTTTTCATTTATAAGGACGATCTTCATCAGGTTACACGCGGCGCAGCTACGTGACTCCTCTCACTCCTCCAACCCGGACTGGCAGCAGATAACCCCTGCTCAGCATCTCTAATAGGCACATATTCTTACTTGATTGGGGGATTTTTATTTTATTTTTATTTTTTTTAATGCATTTCTAACCCTGCGTAAAGTTGAACGTGGAGGGACCGTATCTCCCTGTGCGCCAACTCAGTGAAATGACACCGGTTTTTGCTTTCGCGACTGTGGTGGCGCTTTACCTGCTGCTTTCACCTGTACAGGTATGCTATTTAACATTCATTCAGACTTCACATTTAAACGCCTATTAGATGTTTTGGGGTTAAAGTTCGGGAAGCATTTTGTTTGTCTTATAGTTAGTTTTATGGGTGTTCTTTGCGCATTTATGTGGACACAAATACTAATGTATATTTTAGCTCGGTGTCAGAATATCATGCCCATTTTTGGATATTTTTGTAGTCTATTTTCACTTAGATATGAATATGAAATTAATAATAAATGAATAATTAGAAGTCAGGGATTACCAGAGCCGGTCCAAGGTTTTACAGGGCCCCACAGCATGCCTCACCCTCTTTTTTAATGAAGGACGCATATATTATATTTTTCTAGATATTCTGCTCAAATCATTTGTTGACTCCTCAAACACAGTTTTTTTTTTTGTTTGTTTGTTTGTTTTGCCTCATTAGCTGCAGTTTTGAAAACATGCAAAAAAGCAAAGCAAGCATACGCATCTGATCATTATGTTTTTATTCCTACATTGCTGCAGAATCATTGTTGAGGTTTTGGTCTGACAATACATGTTTTATTTACATCCTTTTACTTTTTTCATGTGGTATTATATGACAGACTCTGGCTAATTTTTTATCTACATAAAATAGCCAATAGTAACAAATTGAAAACATGTTTTTCAGTATTTCTTGTAATTTTATTCTAAAAAAGGTAACTTTTAAAACACATTTAAAACATGTTCTCATAATGTGTTATGAAACTTGGACAAAAGTACATCTGATATGATCTGATTTGATCAGATGATTCTACAACTTGGTTAGAGTCTTTCTGTTCTTACAGTTAACTGTTTTTTGTTGTTTTTTTTTTAGAACAGAGTGGTGTGTTTGGTCACGCAACAGAGATTAAGGAATAAAGGGAAATTCATTGTTTTTAAAAAGGATACACAAACATTAAGCATAACCCAAAAGGCACTCTGGTCTCAATAGTCTCTAAAGTTATGGCTGCCTGACAAAACCGAGGAATAAGGTTAGAATGACCAGTGTTCTCTGGTGGACATTAGAGAATCATCTAGAAGGTCAACAGCTGCTTTCACTAATTAGGCCTTTATACTACAATAGCTGTCAGAAGAAAACACTTCACTAAAAGGCCCATGGTTGCTTAAATTTTGCCGGAATGTACCATAGAGATAGCAAGACCAGAAGAAATAAAATTCTCTGGTCTGATAAAACTGAATTACAGCTTTTCGGTAAGCATTTCTGGGAAAAAAAAAAAAAAAAGAGGTACTGCTTATGACCTGGCTAACTTCCTTGCAGTGAAGCATGGTGGTGGCAGCAACATATATTTCTTAGGCTGCAACTGAGTCTGCATTTAGGTTGACTGCAGTTATTCAAGAAAATCTACATTAGAATACCCTGAACTTCAGATAAATGCAACTCTTCCTCTGACACAACAATGACATGAGGCGAGTCGCCATACTATCAAATTTGCAGGAGAGTCAACTGGGAGTGCACTTATGTCTCTCTTTCAGAACAGGAATTCAAATATATAGAAATACTTAATGACTTTGGTGTACAGCCAGCCTGACTCAATGTGAGAGGATCTGCTAATGATTGAAACCACAAAAGTTTCCCGACCTTATTAAGACATACCCACATATAGCTTTAGCTTTCTTTGCAGACAAAGGTGCTTCTTTAAACTATTTTCTAAAAACTGCGCACCCGTTGATACAAGATTTAGCTTTATTTGAAATATGCTAAATTATTTTATGTCAATATGCAGCAGCTACAGCTTTGAAAAACCTCCCTTATCTAATTCAAGAAGATCAAGTTTGTTGCTGAATTAGTCACGTGACCCAGAGCTCTGCTTTACGGCAGCCAGAGTTTCCCTGAAACAGAAGAGCTAACTTGAATAATCTTTTGATGTGCATAAAAACAGATATGATGCTTAACTTATCAGACATATATTTTTGGTTCCCTGATGTAGGTTTTAATCTAAATGGGTGAACATGGCCTTGTCTTTACAAGTGCTTCTACGTCTCTTTAATCTGCAGGTCAAAAAGGGGTCTGCTATCAGATTCTAAAACCCAGAGGGAGACTGTTTCATTTTATGTCAGTTTTGCTAATGGCCTACAGGGGAGCTAAACCTAGAAGTTGCAGATATAGAATCCCTAGTGCTAAAAGTTGCATATAGTTTGTTTATTATTACTAAAGCTTTTGTCAAAAAAAACTATTTTATTTTTTTGTTTTTGTCTTTGGATTTTTTTTATTTATTTATTATTATTTATTTTTTTTTTTTACAAAGGATTATTTTAAAGCCATAATCTGTTCTAGAATATGTCTGTGGCATTAAAGGGACAGTATGTAATATTTATCCCCATCTAGTGGTTCACAAAATAAATTACAAATGGCAGACTCGTGCCAAGAGTATGAGACTATGGAGCTCATCCAGTGTAGGGAAACTAACTAGCAGTCTCTACTATGAGAGATCGGGTTTAATTAACCTGAAAATATCAGCTAAAATAAATTCTGAGAATGTCTCTGAAAACAGCCGAAAGAACCTTATAGTCATCTGCTTGGGTTACTTTTATGAAAGAAAAAAAACAGCAACTAATCCTAAACAAACAATCTGTTTGCTATAGGGACGGACCTGTTTCTAACATAATGGTGAAACAAACTTCAATGTTTTATTGAATTATCTCACCGATCCAGCAGAAAACCTGCCACCTTTGCATTTGTTTTGAAGTTCTACTTTACAACAGAAAATGGAAGGTAGAGTGATCTATTTCCACTGACAACACACTTCCAAATACAGGTAAAGGCTTACTGTACCAGTTTGTCGCCTTTCGGCAGCTCTGATCAAAAATGGCAAAGCAACATGCCATCTCCCACTGGGCGTACCGCCCCCTATGTATTTATAAAATACTAGTTCTAAGGTATGAGGATGCTTTCTTTTTTTGTGCTGTTATTGGGCTTTTGCAGAATATTTATTACAGCAATACTTGATTTTTGCTTACAAGAAGATTAATGTGTTACATCGAGGGGCTTTAAATATGAAAAGGTGAAGCAGTGCATTTATTTTCTAGTGGCAGTGTACCCTATATGTATGGATTAACTTAAATTATTGAATCCTTCAGTTATATAGCTGTATTCCAACAAATTACAAATTAAAGACTTTGTTTGGTCAATTTAGTGACATTTGCTCTCTATACGAAAGAAGACATTGATCTGATGTCTGTCTGAAACATTTTTAGGGCTGAAACCTTTTTTTTGTGGTAATTTGTGGTTACAGTTATTGATAACATTTATAGTAATGTGAGAGACAGGAATTATCCCAGAAGTTTAGAAATTGTAGTGGTCTTTTTTTTTTTTTTTTTTTACAACAAATTAGAGCTTTATTTTAAATACTGTCATATGAAATGGTTTCTTATGACTTACAACTCTTTTGACAGGTTTACAAGCATACCAGCTATGCTGATTTTTTGTGACTTTTTTGTGTGTTTTATTGTTTTGGGGTTTTGCTTCTTTGTAGATTACATGCCCCTCACCCACCATCATTCTTTTCTGGCTTGTGGTTTTGTTGTGCCAGCCCATACTTATCAATCGCCCTATCTGGCCGCCCTCCCTTTGAAAATGTTTTGGATGAGCCTTTTGGAAGGTGGAGCCAAGTTGATTTTGTGTTCACAACAAACATGAAAAAAGTTGCTTGCCAATTTGTTACGGGTACACAATACAGAGCCTAATTTTCAATCCAAGAAAGTTTTTAAAAACATTTTTGCTAGTTTTTAATAGTCTCTTGTAACATAACTTTTAGCTTTATAAAAGTTTTCCTTAGAAAAGCACCAATCAGACTTTTTCCTATCCTATACAGATTTCCAGTTTTCTTGGAAGTCTTATCTGCCAATCTGTGTAGTTCTGAGGGTCAACAGTTAGGAGAGAAAAAAATTTGCTCTAGGTTCTTTGCTAGAGATGACAGTTATTCTTTCAATTGGAAACGAAAGAATTTCAAGATGAAAGGTCTGTCCATACAAAAATAAAACTATTTCTTCAAAAGGAAAAAATAGGGTAGTAGATTCATTTCTTTACATAAATTCACAGAAGTTTTAATTCAGATAAATCTATTTTATGTGAAAAAAAAATCTGATCAGACAAATCAGAGTTTGCTTGCAGTTCGAACTGAGCCTGGTGATTTGAGGTTGAGTTGCTCTTGAATGAATTCTATTCAGCTCACTGATTCGTAAGATGACACGTGACAAACCACATCGCTGGTCCTCTGCTGGAGCACATGATGTAAAGCAATTCTGTTATATTTGCAGAAGCTCAAAGCTCATGATTACTGGCGCTGTCTTCAAAGCCCAGTTTCACTTACTTGAGTTGTAATTTTTTTGATCTTGTCAGCATAGAGAGATATGAAAAAAGCTTTGGTTTCCATCTGATGGAGATGCTTTAAGCATCTTGATGCTATGTTCGAACACTATAGATACAGTAGATTAGAGAAGACAGATTATTCTTTAAATGTGAGAGTAAGTTAGACAACTTCCCCTACACCAGAAGCTTCCCTTTATTGTCAGTGCACTGCAGCATTCAGTACAACGTCTCAATGAGATGCATCCCAGGTATCTTGGTCAGGGAGCAGTGAATCAGCACAAAGCTTGTCTGTCTTCAGCTTCTTGACATCACCTGGTGGTCTAATAATGAAAATCTGCTTAAGCAAAGTACACCTGAAAGTAACTGGAGACTCTTTCAAAAGTTCGCTGTGTCACAGATACTTGGTTTGTCATTTCCTAGTGCAACGTAAAGCTCCGTCTGTGACCCTTTTCATCTCTGATTTCCATCCCATGTGGCAGTTGTCCCTGATTCCTCTCATGTTTAATGCATATTCAGGTCCTCCCCTCATCCATTTGATTTCACACTTTGCACACCAAAATCGCTTGTGGAATCACCCCTCTGTACACTGAAGTGTATGCTGACTCAGAGAGGCTTTAAAGGTTTGTGAAAGCTTCACTTCCTAACAGTTACTCAGGCTGGATACTTTGCAG